TGAGATGAGCACTGGGTGTTGTATGGAAACCAATTTGACAATAAATTTCATATATAAATAAATAAAAAAAAAAGAACCTCCAGTCTGATGTCTTTTCCCTCTCTCCCCACCCCCAAATTTCTGCAGCATCCCTGCCATTTATAATCTATATTTGTAAGACATATTTCATTATACTTAAAGTGCTTTGAAGCCAATTCATAAAATTTGCAAGGGGAGTTCAAAAAAAAAGCAAGCTCAGCAATATTTGGGGACTTTTAAAACTGATGACACAGCTGACCTATTGGAGACACAGGCAGTGGGAGGGCCCTCACTGGTATAAATAAATAGGAATCTCTGTCCTCAGAACCCACAGTTTAGACTCAGAGCTGAAGTCTGAACTCCACCTTGAGGCAGAATGAGGTTCTCCCTGGGATTTCTGCTTCTCATGCTGTTGGTCTACAGCATCACTCCAGTCCATGGTGAGAACTTTCACTTATCTTCTCATTGTGCTTTGAGCAGAAATAGTCTTCAGCATTTCTTTCCTTTTTTTTTTTTTAATTAAAAAATGGGGAGCAATATGACTGAAATGGGAAGGGGGAGATTACCTAAGTACTCCTAGGTTTCTAAAAGTAATATACTTAGAGATTTAACTCTTAGAGGTTAGAGACACTTATGTTGTTAAAATTATTATCCATAGATAGAGATACTGAAGTTCAGTGTCCGTGTGACTTATCGTTGGTTTGTCTATTCCTGGTCTTTTTCAGATTCAGCTCTGCTATAACTAATTCTTTCCATGTATATATCTTCTTGGCTCTGCCTTTCAGTGCTACCCCTTCCGACTAAACCCTTTATAGGATTTAAAGATAATTGACCTCAACAGGTTGGTCTCCTGCAGAGAACGTTTGGTGCAATTCTATTTGGCTAGCTCTGACGTGAGCCACTGTAAGCACAACATGGGGACTTAAGTACATGCTTTCTGCAAAGACATAGACTTCCAAGTCTAAATGGGGTGACGATTGTATAAATAGATAAACATCTAGTTGAAGTTGTAAGTTTTTATACAGCTGAGGAAATCCAAGGCATGTGCCTTGGATTGATATGATATAGTCTGAATGATATAGTCTGCTCAGGTATAAAAAACAAATTTTTGCTCTTAAAGTGTAAGGCATTGTTTTTCAATTATTTTGCTTCACATGCTATTTTTATTCTTCAAGAACTTCATCTCTCACCTCCTCCATAAAGCTGTCCCATTGCCCTGGCAAAGTCCTCTGTTCCCATAATGTAGTATGGATCCTGGGTGTGAAATACAACATTCTGTGACATTTTAGTTTTTGTTCATTTGTTTCGTCCACCAAATTGTAAATGCCTTGAGAACCAGGGCCCTTTTATTTGCAAATATGTGTCAAGCATTGTGTTAGGCACTGGGCTTAAGAGGGTAGACTTCATTAAAATACATGAGATAGAGTAACTTATAAAAGTATCTAGTACTAATGACTTCTGTTATTGAATAAAAATAGTCTTGAATTTTTATTATCAGCTTTCGTTGGTAATAATTTGCAACCGAGATGAAGGACCAGCGTATTAAAATACATATATATATA